CACACTAACTGTGGGTAATCTACCACATGGTAACCTAAAAGCCCACGGCGTCATTATACAGGAAGGACTAAACAAAAACAAAAATATGTCATCTATAATCTGAAAATACATTCACAGGACAATGGACGGTTAACGGCACAATGGGGATGGATGCTGTCACACATGCCCTCTTTGATTCCTTCGAGCCATTCCCAGCTTCATATCTGTAATTAACGACAGATGCACGTGGAAAATTAGCATATGTTTGCCACATTGGTGCTAATCGGTCATATATTTGTGCATATTAATGAAACACTCTATCTGTGTACATGTATTTTGAATCGCTTAAATTCACACAGGAAATAACGGCGGGCAATAATGTGCACTTAATCCTCTTGGACTGAATCAACAATGCTTTGCAGAACGCTAACTTACAGGGCCGTCCTGCATATGTCACCTCTGATATAGCTCGCATAGGAGCCAGGCGCGCAGGCCGAAACACATCACTAGGTTATATCACACGCGAGGATAAGCTCGTAAACATACAGTATAGGCAGCGTGCATAACGCAAACAGAGCTCCGTGGTGAGGCAAGCTGCTCACCTCACTCCATACTGAGCCCCTCGCAGCCTGTAATAGTAGAAGCTTAGGTTTGGATGGGGGGAAGGGCAGAGGTGCACAGGTTTCTGATCAGACAAGAAAACTAGGCCAAGACCAACAATCCCTCTCTCTCCCCGAACAGCCCTGGCCCCTCCTGAAAGATACAACTTTGTTACACGGCTCTGGCAATCACTTACAAGGCTGTCATTAATGGAAAAGCAACAGAGTGATTTTTAGCCACAGCATGTGTATTTAGAGGCATAACCACTTCTCATAGCCGGCCTATGATTCATGCTTTCTTGCCCCTTTGGAAGCTGTCCTCCAATAAGAGTTAGAGGCTGGGGGTAGGAACGGATAGATTGATAGCGTTGGCTGAGTGCCCGTGCTCCGAGTCTATCTGTGCTGAAGGGGAGGAGACGAGGGGGAATCTATCTGTTGTGCTCTCTGTGCTCATGATAAACTGACTCCCGTCAAGCTTCTTCCCCCCTATTACAGCTCGCCTGGCAGAAAAACACCCAAACTCACCCTGACTTCCAACACGTTAAGCAACAATAAAATGTTGGGGTGGGGGGGGTGATTTAAAGAGGGCAATAATCCACAAGGTTATGCTATCAGTTGTCAGCCAGTAGCAGGACGGCATATGTAAAACAGAGCAGTTGTTTTGGAAAAAGTGAGAACCACACGCCAGCCCGAATTCGAACAAGTATTCAAAACAGCCAAATTTAAGGGAACACAGTGAACCCAGATTTCTGTGCTTCACAATTGGGACCATTGTCAGCAGCAAATACAATGTCTTCCTTCCTTATCCGCAAACTGTAATTCCCACAGAGCTCCACAGTTAGAAAGAAAATGAGTTTGAGGGATTGTCCATGACATTAATCCTCACAAACACTACAGTGCTAGGCAGGATCCAATACAGACAGACAAACACAAAATCAAATCAACAATCTATTTACCAAAGGAAAAACTAAATCAACAATCTTTTTGGCTTCTGTCTACTCTCATTTGACAATGGCTTTCCTGGATGCCGCTTTCCTCTGTTGTCTCTGCTGATTTTATGGGACCCCTCCCTGCCATCTTGGATTCCCATTATTGTGCAGTTGTATGGGTGCCCCTGTTCTGCTACCCACGCTTCAGGTACAGCGAACAGAGCACAGGCTTCCTGTTTACAAAGCCGGGCAATTGAGAGACCCACCACCAGACTGTGCAGCTGAGGGGAGTGAAAAAAAAAGAAAAAGCAGATAGGACTCTGCAGCGGTGGTTGATATTGTGGGGAGTGGAGGGTGGGCGGGGGGCGAGGGATGAATAGGAAGGTGAGAAAAATAAAGAAAGAGAGGCAGACCGAGCAAACTGAGCAAGTGCAAACTAGGCAGGAGTATTCCTACCTCGGTCCAAGAAAAAAACCTCAAGCCCCACTCTGAAAATAATACAGTAGTCACATATCGAGAGGGAGGTGTGCGAAAAGTCACATGATAACAATCAGATCAAAAGCTGAATTGACTCTAAATCAATTGAAGTAGGCATGTCAGGGCTGCCCGGGACACGAGGGGGAAGAGAGGGAGTGAAAGGGAGATAGATGTGAGCCCGTGTGGGGGAGGGAAGCAGAGATTGTTGGTGTCGTGGGAGCACTGCAACAACAATAACAGCAGTGTGTGCATGTGTGTGTGTGTGTGTGTGTGTGAGCGACAGAGTGAATGAGTTAGAGTGGAAGTGAGGATGTGTTATGGCTCACAAAAGTGATGAAATGACATCTCCTTTACTTCAGCACACAGCTGCTATTGCAGCAAAGAACACACTGTCGAGATATCTGACCTTCTATTTTCTCGGGTAGCCGCTGGTCAGAAGTGTCTGCCTGCCTGTCATGCTCACCTCTAATTAGCTATAGCTGCACAATGACCGCACTGTGTCCATTGCAGCCAGATTCCTGCCTATAGATACTCACATAATCAGTGTAATCTTATTTTCAGGGGTGTTCACTGAGGGGGGGGAAAAAAAAGCTGAAAATCCAGCGTGCTGCAGATGTGTTTCGAAGGCTGTTTGTTGCACATTTATATTCCCTAAATACTCTTGATCATTAGATGTATTACTGAGTAAGTGGTTAAAATAATAGAGTAAATACTTTAGATTAAGCTCTTAGGTAAAAAAAAAAAATCTGATATGAAAACTTGTGGGTATAAAAAATATTTAGGTTGAGCCTTCTCTTTTTCGTTGTTTTCTCGATTTCTTTCATCTCTTTTTCTCCTCCCCTCCCCCTTTCTTTGCAGATTAGAATTCATTAGCAATCAAAGAGCCTCCAGAGAGCCTCAGCTCTTAATTACCTACTCATTTGCATTTTTGCATATTAATGACTGCAGGGTTTTGGTACGGTTTTTGCCGCAGTGGTTTAAAGGCACCTCAGTCCTCTGTTCTCTGGGGAAGAGCAGAGATGTCCAGAGGCAAGGCTCCAAGCCTGTCCAGTCCCCCCTCTATCCTCCCTGATGGGAGCTGGACGGAGCAAGTAGATGAGAAAACGGGGGGGGGGGGGCGGGTGGATGGCCGGAGGCATATGGGACGGGTGGGGTGTGGTGATTTGGGGGGAAGAAACTACTGGGGTGCACAGGTTAAAGGTCAATGTCCCTTATCAGCATAAGAAAGAACACATGTCTTCTGCACCGCCTAATTGTTGTCATATTGAGCAGTTTAAACACCTGATCTGAACAAAATATACCCTGAGAGAAACTGGAAATCTATACTGCAGAGATCCCTCACGTGGCTTTTATTGAGGACGGCAGCTAGTTGGGATGAAACTCATGTCCCACAGTGTGCAGAGGCAGGGGCATTTTATATCCCAGGAGAAAGGTGTGTAGTGGTGAAAATGAGGCTAGAGTGTGTGTGTGCGCGCGTGTGTGTGTGTTGCCGTTTCCTTTTACAATGCAGCCCCTCTCTAAATGCTCACTGGAAGGACAGTCGGCGGCTTACTCAGCGAGCCCTAATGACGATGGCGCGAGCAAGATTTAGAAACCCCACCTTAGCGCACCAGCGTTGCAGACAAACATGTAAACAGAAAGAGTTGCAGACACTTGTGTGCACGTTCACATGCGCAGACTGAGGGAATAACATCGCTAGTAGACAACAGCTCCCAGGCATCTCCTGGCCCCCGAAGTGTTGCTTTTCCTCTTATCCAATATGTTTTGACTGCAACAATAATGCCTGAACATGGAAAATAACATCACACCCCGCTGTGATTTTAGATACCTTACAAACATAACAATTAATGACTTGGAGCCCTGAGACATCTGGCCAGGAGATTCAGCATGACTGAATGAAACATCTCATACTCTCACACGTTACCCAGCGTGCATTTGTCTTACTGTTCATGCTGAAGCTGGATCCCGTTGTTGGAAATATGGAAAGTGAGCATTTTTGGCACTTAAAATAAAAATGTCAGCAAAAAGACCATGCTTCAGTGTAGTGTTAGTACATGCAACATGCATGACACATGTAGTTTGCATGGCGCATCCCTGAATGCATACTGCTCACAGAGTGGGCTTAAGTCGACTTAACTGCTATTAGTGGGGCATTATAAAATGTGTGTGTGCACGTGCAGTCAGGGCCCGAGGACTGCAGCAATGTGTGGGCTATTGGGGTGGGGTTAATGAGCTATTCTGTGACCCCTGTCACCCTGCGGGATTGCCTTGGGGAGACAGGCTGAGACAAACAGGAAGACAGGGTGACAACAAGCCTGTGGTTGCAGTCTGCCTCAGGACTTCTTGTTAGAATTAGTCTTAAAAATAGTAGAGATGGCCTCACCTTAATTCATATGCTTAAATAGCATCTTAGCCTTTTCCTTTGGAACCAAACTAGCTAATTACAGTTCTCTTGTACTGCATTTATAACTGAAATATAAGAAGCATTATGGTGTGCACAGTAATCTGTTATTTATTTAATAACTGGGGAGGTCTTTATTCTTCAATCATAATGTACACACTGTGTTGTCATGTCTGGTGAAGAGGATGAATGAGCCTAAGAGATGTATGGCAGCAAAATGAGGCTCACTCAGCCTTAAAAAGACAATAGCAGCGACAATACTGCCACCTTCTGGTCAGTTTAGAGAACTGATTTCATAGGTGGCAGCCGTTTATGAGGAAGGCCGTAAAACATAAACACATAATTTAAGAAGATCACATAGAATAAGAATGCTATGATTACACATCTTTCTAAAGGTAATTGTGTTAGCTTTGTGTTGACAGGCAGGTGTTGTTCTAACACCTTCCTGTTACAACTGTAGAATTTAAAAAGTTATTTGATAGCGAGTACTATAACACTGTACACGCTGTATAATTAACAGGCCTTTGTTTTATAACACTTCCACTTAAGACACAAGTTTGTGTAAACAGTGCTCTTATGTTAAAACACACACACACACAATTATCCACACAAAGCTTTGCAACCATCATTTTTAATAGAAAGATTTTATATTCTTTAAACCAGACAACCAGATGCCAGACATTTTTGGATATATTAAAAAAAAAAAAAAAAAAAAAAAAAAAAGGAGAAGAACAGAACAAATAAAAGACACAAAATGGAATTATATGGTTTAGACTGTGGATTTAGTGGTCTCATGTACAATTTCTTTGTGTTGCCAAAAAGTGCAAATTCTCTGAAGAAAGAAGAAAAAAAAAAAATCACCTATAGTTCACCCTGCAGCTTCCAACAGATACACACTGACAGATTTCTTAGCAATGAGCAGAAAAACAAAAGAGGTTATGGAATAAAAATCCACACTGAATCATGTAGAGAAAAACATCTGCTGCACTCTGAATATGTCTATTTATATGTTCTCGTCGCTGTCACTGGAGTTAATGGTAGAAGTGAGCAGGTATTCCACCTCTGGGATAAATTTGTGATACACAGAGCGATGCATGTGCCCAGCAACAGGAATGAAAGAAAGAAAAAAAAAAACACCGCGCGCACACACACACACACACAGACACATGTGGAGCAGCTGTTTTCTGCTTCGTGTGATTCAGTGTAGATTTTCACTGAAATGTCCAGAACTGGGTCACTTTAAAATGTACATCAGAAAAGAAAAAAAAACAAAACAACTCTATAAGGAATTATAGTAATCACAGTTAAACTCAATCTATAAATAGTAGCCTATTTGTCTTCTCTCCCACGTTAAACCATTTACTGAACTATAAATTTAATGAATGCTTATTATGATCGATAGTATTCTTTCCGCTCTACTGCAGTAATCTTGATTCGTCGTAGATGTTAAGGCCAAAACGTACGTCTGTACGGATCTGAGAATGGAAATGACGGTTATTTGACCATTTCGTCCTGTTTTTCATAATCATTTACGCTTAATATGGATACCAGATCCAACCTTTACCAACAGACAAAGAGATTCTGCAGTAGATACGACACTGCATGTTTAACATTCAGCACAGCGAGCCTTCTCAGAAAGCTTTGCAACTGTTATACAGGTTTCTGTTTCAATAAAGAGTCTCCAGAAATTAAATCAAATCACCTTTCTCCCCAAAAGATCCCAGACAGCGAACAGAGAGCAGGTGGGGGGGAGGTTTGTCCCGTACCCCCGCCACCATCACCAATGCGTGACTATGCAACAAGCTGCAAAACAGGTACATATAACAGAGATGTGTTTGTTTGTGATGAGGCGACAGCCATCTTCATTGTAGATACCAAATATTCAAGTTTTTCTTGTTTTTTTTTTTCTTTCTTATATAGTTTTTGCATTTAAATAATCAGTTGCATTGAGAAAACAAAAAGACAGGGACAAAATAACCAAAACAATATTGATAAGGATGAAATAAAAGCACACAATTTCAGGATGGCCTTTCGCAAAGTGCTTTTGTTACAATCGCAGAAGCTGATAAAAGGCAGCTTGATAGTGCTACACCGGGGCCTTTTAAACTATCTGTCTACATGTCTGTCTGTCACATAGTAGTGGGATAAAGAGGCTAGACAGACGGACAGAAACAGCCATCCGCAGAATGTCTAACACTTCCTTGTCCCTCCTTAGACGCACGACCTTGCTAAAAAGTGGGAATCACAGTATGAAGTTATGGAATGTATCCCAAACTGGTTTACGTTACCAACAAGTGAAAATGTCTCCTCTTCCATACCTCATCCACACCTCCCTCCCTTGCCAATCCCCCTGCTGAGGGTGTGTGATCTTTGATCAAAAGCCAGTCGGCAGCAAAGATGTTGACTACGAGTCCACAGAGAGGGAGAGCGATGGGAGAAGAAAGTGAGAGAACACGCAAACCCCCCTCCCCTGTGCTTTTCCAACCCCATGTCTTTTCAAGCACGCTACAGTCCAACTAATAAGACTGAATCCCAAGTGGCTTCCTTCCCTCCAACTAACAATTCACTGGATCAATATTAGATGGAGAAACAGGTTGGTCGCATCCACTTTACAAAGAGGGAACTGTTCATGCCAGTACCTTTCTGGGAATTATTACGGTAAATATTTGTATGACAAAGAAAGAAAAGACAGAACAAGAACACAGAGTTTGATTAGACATACGATCAACTGAGCAGACACTGAAACCCAATGCATAGCAGTGAATTTTCCACCTGAGTAGTACTTACATAGAGACAAAAGAGATATGCAACATTCTGATGGTTGCAGTTCCCCAATGTGAACTCTGCGGTGACCTCTTTTGTGTTATGTTTCTTAGGCCACGTATTTCCCATCAGCGTAGAGGACCAACACTGAACAGTTACCTGGGCTTCCTGCTCTCATCCCTGAAAACAACATTCAGCCCTCTCCTACCACCTGGATTTGCTCCTCCCTGTATGCCAACCTTTGTATCTCCAGAGACAGAGAAAGACTCCAAGTGCAAACTGTCCCCGCTTGGCTGAGAGCAGCCAACAGACAGCAGCCTGCCTCTCTGAAGGACCCAGGGCTGTCTGTGTAAGTGCCAGAGCCACGCTGTGCATACTGCCGTACTGCATATGCTGCGCTCAGCTTGCCCTGCTTCGACAGCCTGATGGAAAACGTGCAAAAAAATAAATCAGGTGTGCAGCAAAATGACGAAGCAAAGCAAACAGCCCCCTTTCTGCTGCCACGAGTCGCCATATCACCATATTAACAGTCACCCCATTCTGCTTTGTTTGATTTTTGCAGTTATCGTGCTTGTTATTGTCTTTGTTTTATGGCCTTCTCAGATAGATTTACAAAAAGTCTTTGATAATAGCACAGAAAAAAATAACATTTCAAGGTCCATTTGAAAGAAAAGGAAAAAACAAAACAAAACACAGTTGCAATGAAGTTCTGAGACTGTCTTGGTGCAGCCTGTGTCAGAGTAACCTTGGCCTGGGGCTGAGGCTGGGGACACACCAGCTGTGGAGCCACGGAGGCAGAGAGAGACACTAATATATCAATTCATTCAGTACTAACTATCGTTTTAGTACGAGCCAATCAGCTTTAACAATTTGGTTTCAATGTTACAAGAAAAGTGTTTAAATGGTAAAAAAAAAAAAATAGAGTTTTTAAAAAAAATTTATTCCTGTCCACATAAGGCACACTGTGGCCCTTGTGTCTGCACAATCCACCTGGTGGGAGTGAGCCTCAGCCCCACGCCGCATGACATTACCGTCTGAAAACACACACACACCACCATGAGCTCAGCACTGCCCAGTCAAGGCCACAAAGTCACCGTCTGTCTCAACCAGAGAACATTTAAACTCAGCTCAAACAGCAGAAGGTAAATGGAAATCATCCAATTCAGCAGTAACAAAAGTATTTAAAAAAAAACACATCAGATTTTAGGATCGATAATCCGTCAGTGGACTCAACATAAGACAAAAATCTCAGAATGACAAAGAACTGGAATGAGTATCTGTGGCATCGTCAAACATTGCATCTGAGCCATCATCAGGAACGAGTAGGTTTTTTTGTTTTTTCAGAGAAGATTTGCTGCTTGCCTAAATTTTCTATATTTAGATTTAATGTATAAAGAGCATGTATGATTGACTTCTATCAAAAAGACAAAAAAAAATAAAAAATCCCAAATCTCTTTTTAAGAGCCTTCAGATTAAACAGTAAAAGTAATAATCAAACATTACATTGGTAGCTTAAAATGCCCAGTGACTTAAATGAAAGCAGTTTTTTTTTCTCCTTTGGTGTTTATTGTTGCTGGACGTCTGTATATTTTGAATATACTATACATGATTATTTCTACGGAGGGGTTGGATGGACTCTTAATGAGACCACTGAGTATTAACCACACTGCTCTGTGCTCATGGAAACTCGCAGGCCTTTCTGAGGTCCCCTGTCCTTTTCCCATAAGCAGGACAAGGACATTTAACATTAGTGCAAACTTTTGCTCTTTCAGCTAAAGCACCACTTCCAGTGCTATCAGGCTTTTATCCATAACCCCACCCAAGCACCCATTAGCCCCACCTTCCTGGCACAACATCCCAAAACCATGACCACACGCACAACACACGCACGCGCACACTCACACTAGCATATACACACCCACACGCACGGCCACGTACAATTATTAGAAAAAAAATAGCTGTAGCACAACACGTTATTTTAAGAAAAACGAGTGTAGACAGAAACAAAAGGCTATACATCCTTACACCTCAAATTCTATTTTCCACAAGGATACAAAGAGTGAGAGAAAGCAAACTCAAGTAAGTAGACACACATTTCTGCATATGTATTCCAGAGAAGGGCATCTGTGTGTGGCTTAGTCAGGGAGGCCCAGCCTGGAAAAATTATAGACATACTTTCAATATCTCTTGTTTACAGTAGACTAAGATGGAGGGCAAAAAACTTTGGTTAATCAACAAACAACATAAGACATTTGGGGAAACATTAAGGTCCAATGAAACATTGTGTTTAAGATGACCCACGGGTCTTGACAGGTAAAACTTCTGCCACGTCAAGATAAGTGGGTTTAGGCAGTCCAAGCCAAGTACCACGATACATGAAGATCACAAGACATTAGACTGCCCCGCTTACATCGGTCTGCCTGCAGGAGTCAAACTGTGCAATAATTAACCCCATCTTTATCATAACGAAACAACAAAAATAGAAACTAACTCTCAAGACCTGGCCAAACCTTGACAATGGCCAACAAGGGTAAACAAAGAGTTATGCAAATCTGCACCAAGAGAGCCGTGAAGTAAACAAGCAACTGTCCAATGTGTTGTTCTACAATATGGTATTTTCGCTCCTGTGGTGCCGCGGACCTATTATCACTGCAGTTCCTCCAAGAACACATGTAGATTTTAGAGTAGCTGGTGAACAGATGGGGTAGACACCAAGTTTGTTTATCCAGCGTTGTCCTGAGACCCTTCAGCCTGCCAGCCAGCAATGCATGCTTGTGCACATGCATGCAAAAAAAAATAAAATAATAAAAATGCATGTATGCATGCACACAGCGCTCTTTCCACTTGTCTACCTCCTCCTTCTATCCCCTTACTTTACATTAAGACGAAAAAAAAAAAAAAAAAAAAAAAAAAAAAAAAACCAATCACTAGATTTTTTACAACTAAATTCAAGTGCATTCAGTTACATGGATTGATTTACTCTTTTTGTGTGTGTGGACCTGCCTGGCTTCTCTTGTAGAGATCGACACTCGTCTCCTCTTTTCTTTTTTGGCAGCTTGTTGTCAAAACCTGAACGAAACCAGCGAAGGAGCTCGACTTCACCATCACGCACTGAAGGAAAAGGCTGATCTCATTTGCAACTGGTTTGTTTCAAAGTACCCGTTTCGTTGACCAAAGTGCCCTCCTCAGTAACAAAGTGCAATCATGACCTGCCTCTTCCCATCCAACGTGCAAAAGGACTGATAGTTGAAAAAAAAATAAAAAAAGCACTACTGCAGAAATTACAGGGTGGGCTGGGGGAGGGGGGGGGGGCACTCTACATCACATGCATGTTCTCTTAACGCAAAAGGCTCAATGTGCTCGTATGGAAACTAAAGTTGGATTCTGGAGTTTATTATTGTTTAAGACGGACAAATCCAAACGTATGGAGTCGCTGACAATATTCAAACACATATGTCAGCTCTGGTGTTTTCCCCTTCTCTACAGGATACCTGGACCCAGTGAGCATGTGTGTGTGTTAGCGAGACAAAGTGTATTGGGGCTGGCAGCTCAGGGTGCATGTTTGAACAGGCTGTGGCTGACTCACACACGCTGATGATGTGGCCAGAGGGACCCTGGCTGCCACGCACACACACACGCAAACACAGTCGCACACTAAACTGCCAGCACCAGGCGTCCTCCCCACAGTAACACCAGGCTCTAATATAATAATATCCCCTCCAGGCTGGTTCGGGGGCATTAGAGGACTACAGAGGGAGAGGGAGCGAGAGAAAAGGCCTGATTTGATCCCCTCCTGCCTGGAAACGTGGCTGAGCTGGGGGAGATTATTTTTTGGAATGCAACAGACATTGCGAGATCCCCCTCCCCTTCCCTCGATCCCCTCCCCCATCAACCAGCTGCAGCTGCGCTCCTATTTGGCCTCCCAACTTGGACAGGTATTTATTGCTCTTCATCATACAGGTTGCCTTACGGTTGTGTGGTCCCCAGGGCAAAAAGATTGGAATAAGCATAAACCTCCTCGCACATCAGCCCGCTTCCTTTAAATATTACCTCTCCCTCAGTTGGATATCTTTAGTAAAGCTGTGCAAACATAGAAAAAAAAAAGGTGCTCGTCTATCTCTTCGTACTCTTTGTCACTCTCTCACTCAGGCTCCTTTAACCTGCGGTTGGTTAAGTGCTACCCGCGCCTTGTCACACAAGGACAGAATCCGAAAAACTGCAAAAAGTTAAGCACATTCATTCAATCGACCCCCTCGTCCTTTGGGCAGGAACTTTACATATCAAGTGTTAAGTTTAGGACAAATGGGTGAATCAATGCTTTTTTTTTTTTTTTCCTCTCTCATCGAACATTCATACAGTTTGTTTTGTTCACCCACAAGCTTCACTCTCTGAGAAATATGACATCAAGCCTACGAGGAAAAAAAAATGTGATTGGTAACTACAACTCAGCATTAAGAGGGGCCAATGTCATATCACCACCTGCTGTATATACATGTATACAATATTAAAGTGTCAAGTACCCAAAGCAGTCAAAAAAATAAAATGTTGAGAAACAAAAATTAAGACAAAATCAAAAGGGCGAACAAACATATTGACACTGCAGGGCTGTGAGGGATAAGAGGCCACGTAGTAAAGCCAACACGTACATTGACAATGGTAGTGCTTCAGAAACACAAACCCTCCACCCCTCGTATTCCCGAGTCCTGCAATTGGCGAGCCCCCATTAAAGTGGATTTGACTCAAAGTGAATTTGCTTTTCAGTAAGACAAGCCATAGATTCTTAAAATGCATTTTAGAGAGTAAGTAACACTTCAATCAAACCCCTGCCTCATTCTTTCTGGAACATTTAGAGAAGAAAAACTGTTGCATCAAAACTGTGGCGAGTTTTCCTTGCATATGCCATATTGTGGCAATGGTGTTTCTATGGTAACTGTACATTTCAGACCTGCAAAGAATAGAAAAAGAGTTGTTTTCATTGGGAGGATTTGTCCTCGCTTCACCCGTACAGCAGCCAGAAGGTGCTTGACAGACACCTTTCTTAGAGCTTGAAGGCTGTGAGGACAAAACCAATAAAAATCTAAATCAACTGCATAGTTGCTCAGAGTTCCTTTGTATCTATCATACATTTGCCTAAGCACATATGCCACATATGTATAAAAACCCTATTATTACAAAGAAAGAAATGACCCAGAAAGTGGACGTAATGGGTGCATGATTTGAAGCGTTCTTTGCTCTTTAACAAATAAACCAACTTAAGTGCTTGCAATTCTACGCCGTGTCCTAAGTAATAGGAGAAAGAAATATAAAGATTAGATTTTTGTGACACCCTGATTTGGTTTATAGAGGAATAGTTAGTTGTTTGTTGTAGTTTTTTTTTTGTAGTTTTTTTCAATTGCCTTTGCATCTTTTACTCCTCTCTGTTCATTGGCCTGTCTCACAGGCGGTGCAGAGTGACTATGGTGTCCAGCAGTGTCCTTTGTCTTCCCTGCAGTCTCAGGGCCCTGCCTCCCCTGCTAGCTCCTGCAGCTGAGGACTGTGTGCATGTGCTCCAGCAGCAACCTCCACCTCCGCTGCCGAGGTCGACTCCGATCGCCGCCTTCCCCTGATGGTATGAGACCCGGGGCCGGTGTCGGATCCGGGGCTAAGCAGGCCCATGGGGGCCTCGAGGAGCCCTGGCTCTCTCACGCGAGGTTTCCGGCCTCGACGGGAGGGGATGCCGTTGCAGCCGTCCTTCTTGAGGTGGCGGTGCAGGTGATCCGAGCGCACAAAAGTCTTAAAGCAGCTCGAGCACTGATAGGGGCGCAGGCCGGTGTGTACACGCATGTGGTTCTTCAGGTCGTAGTTGTGAGCAAAGGCAGCTCCACATTGTGTACACAGGTAAGGCTTCTCTCCTGTATGCTTCCGCATATGAACCTTGAGCTTGTCCTGCCTGAGAGGGAGAAAAATAAACACGGTCGAGTAAGAATACAAAGGCAAAAACTCTGCTGCACTAGAAGATCGGTTCACACCCATTTGAATGCACTTAGTGCACACAGTCAACTTCAGGTTCTAATCACTCGTGCAATATCACGTACAAACACATAATTAACTCAAACTATATTATTAATTCTCACACATACAGTGGCCAGCCTAATATGCTTTGGATGGATTTATTTCCCATTTAAGAGCCATCTCCTGGATCTCCTCCAGTTCTGTGAAGGTACCCTGTCTAACTGACGAGAAGCCATAAACTTAACCTTTTAATTTGTGTAAATGCACGCAAGAGCACTATTGCTAAATGATAACAATATCAGTTTTATATCAGCGTTTTACGCCTTTTGTTAACATGTATTTGACAACAATACAACAACAATTGACAGATTGCAAAAATGTTTAATGGAGACTTGAATTTCCTCTGCAGTGCAACGGTTCCAGGATAATTTGGAAAGAGCTGACATTTATTGTGAAGTAGTACTGTAGTACTGAGTGCAGCTCAAGTTTGCAGCTTATATTTATCCACAAGAGTCGTACTGGGACCGACTTCTGTAGGTGTCGCACATGAGCGAATAAAACAGCTCATGTGGAAAACTTGCTTTCCAAATTGTGAGGTCTACAACACTGCAGTCAAAACAGCATACAGCATGACTCTATATCAAAACGCATCTCATAACACAAAACTATTTGACTTTCCAATGACACCACCTACTAAACTTTATCAGACTTCTTTGGCCTTCATCTGACTCTTGTCCTTCCCTCCCCCCTTTAGCCCTTACTATCTCTCCAGCTCCGAGCTCTTAAATCGCCTAACCCTTCTGTACCGAGGGCAGAGGGCTTCTAAACAAACAAGCGTAGTTAAGACAACTGCATCTGAACACATACACACCCACCCACAGGTGTGTGCATGCAAGTGCCAGGTAAGTGGATTAGCTGTCATACAAGGAAACAAATAAACCCACTGCAACGCTCAGAGGTCTGTATACCTGTGCCCTAAATAGAAATGTTAACCACGAAACGCATGTGTGCACACACATACACAAACACACGATGCAGACGCATAGTTAGGGTGAAGCATTGGAACAAAGTGGCACACTGACAGAGGTGAATTATTTAAAGGACAGGGGTGATTTATTGCTGTGCGATGCACACTCTTAACCTTGTTCAAACAGGATTAAGATTACAGTGCCCCCTTCCCACTGCCAATCTGAATTTACGTAAATTTAGATTGGTCTTCCCTACCTGCCAGCAGAGGTTTTGGCTATTTCTAGCCAACTGTATCTATTTCCAGCACAAGTCCACTGATTAATTAATTAAAGGAACGATTTCATGGAAAAGTTAAGACTTAAATAAGAGGAAAACATGTGCACTCGAGTACCCTTCTGTAGCCTAGTCACATTTATTTGAGCAGGACATGGCAGATTTCATTAGAGAGGTAAGGGAGTGACAGAAAGAGAGAGGAGGGGGTGGTGTAACTACTCTGCCGTGGGCAATAATCAACATAACCAGAGATCAAAAGTTCACATTACTGCATTGGAGCACATAGAGCACCATCCAGCGCCTGTAATCCCCCTCTGTATCAGAGCACAGCACTTTATAGCAGCCTTCCACTAGATAACACTACCATGGCACTGCCTTCTTTTATAGGACCCCTACGTTAAAATTCCAGGACTTTGCTATGAAGGCTGTCACAATAAAACAGACCTTTACAACCCTCCAGCCCCCTCTCTCTGACCTGAAAGATTCTACGTGGCATTATTAACATTCAGCTTCAATGTTATGTCGGGAAAAATCCTGGTTAGGGCCTAATCACTCCATCTTCACGTAAATACACACGCACACACACAGCTTCACAAGCTGCACTGTCTACTTAATACAAGGCTAAGTTGGTTAGCGCTAATGCTCCTGCTCTTGGCTTTGTGTTTCCCCGCTGCTGGCCATTTTGTCAACAGTGTCCAAGACTATTAGCACATGTGACTTGAGGAAGTCTCTTCATTAATTGGGCTTACCTGGTAAAGCGCACTTTGCAGATGGCGCATTCGTAGGGTTTCTCTCCCGTGTGCGTTCTGATGTGACGCGGGAGCTTGCCTGCCCCTTGAATGACCTTGGAGCATATGGGGCACTTCTGGAAGGCCTTGGAGCGCATCTTCCGTTCTCCTCCACCCCCGCTGGCTCTCTCTCCGACCCCCCTCTCTGCTCCTACTCTGTCTTGGGCTGTACTGCCTCTTGATAACCAGAGTGATGGCACTCCCTGCGTTACAGCGGATGACGCTGTATCTTCGTGCTGTGTACTGCTAAAATAATTCAAGTAAAATTCCATGTCAGGGTCATCGCCATCTCCCTGGTCCTCACCGGTCGTAGCATGCTCCTTCTGCCTCTCGATGGAGTCCATCATCTGCTGCAGGAGGGCACTTGCTGAACCCCTCTCCGTTATCATCGCCTCCCTACAAGCGTCCTCCGTTTCGGGCTCCTGCCCCAGCCTAGAATTGTGAGGGAGGTAGAAGTGTCCGTTTTGGGACGGAGGGTAGTATGAGGACCCCAGGGTTCCTCCGTTACCCTGCACCGCGTCCCCATCCTCATCTTCATCCTCATCGTCGTCTTCTTCCTCTGGTTCCTGTTTAGGGACCTGGGACAAGGCGAGGGCCAAGGGGGAGTAGTACTCGCTGGGGCCAACAGGGGCCCCGTTGCTGGGGGTGCCCCCGTTACCGTGATTAAAGTGCAGGTGTGCGGTGGGCAGGTCCCTGAGCTCCGGCGTGCTGCAGCTGCTGCTCCAATGCGCCCCTCTCTGGAAGTACTCCAGATACTCCCGGGCCCGCACCCGGTTCCCCTGCTCCCTTCCTCCTTTGCCTTTCCCATCCTCATCTTCACCCTCATCTTTTTGCTCACTGCCCGCCTAAAAATAAGAACAAACGAAGTGTTACAAGCCTGTGAAAAAAACCACAAATAAAAACATAAAGAGAAGACGGACTAAAGGCAGAGGAGGAAATGCATGTTTAAAATAAAATGTTTTAAAATGTTTATCAGATACAAAAGGATGATGCGTGCAGACCTGTAGGGTCTGATGCTTTTCAGCACTGACTCGGTATCCTGGATGCAAACCGAGGCGCTCAGTACGCTCATGGGTATTAGTATGCGCAATGAGAAAATGAAAACTAATTGGCAAAGAACATTCATGCCCGGTGTATGTATAAAACGAACAATAACGCAGCACACGATCCTGTGTATGTCTTCGCTGCCGTACTCTGTAACTCTTAAAAACACCAGTCTTGAAAAAGGTTATCAAGAGGCTTCAACTTTTGATAAAATGTAACAACAGATGCTAGAAAGCTTCCGATAATGATTTGACATCACGTCATCTTATCTCATGATGTAAAGCATTATCCATGCAGTGCAGCATGTCACAGCTACACTTGATCACATTGAAGTGTAGTTGCAATGTGCTGTGTCTGTACTCTGTTAAAGAGCATGCTGTCACTCCATGAATGCTGTTGGCTCAGAATGAGTAAGCGCTGAACTAACCCCACGGCTGTGGGAGTGTGTTTGGCATAGTGAGAGAAACTGATAAAGGCCGTGATATAAGCTTCACTATGCTGAGCATTAATTGAAGTTGATGGCTTAATGACAGGGTGGCCCTTTGACCATGTGAATGAATCAGTTACTTGGATAAAGTACAGTTCATGCCTAAATTTGAATTGTGACACAAGTTACTTTAGCATTAAAAGTCTCATACCGGCGGGGAGAGCACTTTGGTGTCCAGCAGGTGTGTACAGACATCCTGGACAGGTGGGATTTCCAGGAGACGTGCAGCAGCAAGGATCTCAGCCACACTGCTGTGACTGACTGTCAGCGTGGCCGTGTAGGCAAAGTCCAGCAAAGCTCCCAGAGCCTCCGCTGTCACAAAGTCGATGTTGTAGATGTTCTGTTGGTCGGCGGCTACCCCTGACGTGAAGAGCTTGTGGAAGTAGGTGCTGCAGGACGCCAGGACGGAGCGGTGAGCTGGGAACTCCCGATCTTGGGAAACCAGGAGCACGTCACACAGCAGCCCGCTGAGCCGCTGCTTGTTCAGGCTGCCCAGTATGTCTGCGCTGTGTTCAGGGAAAGGGATCCCCACAGGACCTTCCTCCGCCTCTCCCGCTCCACCTCTCCCTCCTCCACCCCCACTGCTTGCTATCCCCCTGAGCCGCCTTCCGCCCCTCCCGCCGGCTCCTAACGACATCTTCCACCAGCCTGCCGCCGAGCCGCCTAGCACAGCCCCCACCCGTGTATCCGTCCTGCCGTCTGTCCGTCTGCCTATCTGAAGGAGAGTAGAAACAGGTGGAAAAGAAAAAGAGGAAATTAGCAGACAGGTATTACATGCACGCAGAAAGAGAAACAAACATGTATTATCTGAATCAAAAGTTTGCGGAGGCCTTATTTGAAAATTATTTAAATATCAAGCACAAGAACGGAGAGCTCTCAGTTCACAGTACGCAGCTGGTAAAAATACGCATAAAGATTTTTAAATATCTTTGGAAAAACTGCAAAAACATCTACGAACTTGGGCCATATCTGGTAGCCCAAAAATTGACAATATTGTCAAATATAAAACTGAATGTACAATTAGGGTGCCTCCATTTGAGCTTTGAAGCAACATGTGAATACAGTCAAAAGAATTTCATTTCTTAAAAATTGTCATAACCAGTCTGTAGCCTAATATGACACCATTTGAATACAGACTTTTTTTCTAGCCTATGATCTTCAACCAAATAAACTGTACTGACTTTTCCAGCCGGTCAATAAAAATTTCTAATGAGTCACTCATCTTTATTCATTAATTTCTTGGCAGTTCAAAAACTTCTCTGCTGCTTTTTCACACCAACATGTCGACAGTTTCTGTGAAAATACATCAAACCTTCCCAGAACCACATACATCAAAATCTTCATGACATGCTGCTCAAAAATAAAAAGAGCCTGCTATAAACCTGACTGAAACCAAACTTCACCATGAGCATTTCACACTTGCCAAATTTGCTGAACGCTGTAAACAATTTACCTTGTTCAAGCAGATTGGTTACAAACTCTGTGCAAAACAGGACTGTTACATATATTTGGTGCAAAGAATTAGATTCTAATGGTGCTGAATAAACAGTAGCCTGCAACAATTTACATTTGGGTCAACAATTGGGTGAAGATGTTTGGACTGCATCCATGCAGGTGGCTAGGAGCCCATTTCCTTGTATATACGCCCACATCTATGGGAGTGTGCATGCACTTGTGCAAGGAATCAAGTAAGAGGTCGTGGAGGACAGATAGGCAGAGGGCTGTGGGGATCAGAGTGCATGCTGGGAGCTGGGCTGTGCAGGCTATGCTCTCTGTGTCGGTGGAGAGCCAGAGAGGGAAGTGAGAGAGGTGGAGGAAAAGAGGGGGGGGGGGGGGGGTGCTGCCAGAGCAGACCCTGTGGAAAAAACTCCACAGGAGGAGGAAGAGGACACGCAACAAGCTGCGAGGGAACGGTATTAAAAAGGGAGGTTGTCAATCCGGTCTGAGCTGGTTACCCCACCCTGTACTGTGTGCCAAGTTTCAGAAAAGGCCTGTCCCCTCGCTCACATGTGGGGGGAGATTAAAATGATCGACTGAAGCCTGCGCAGTGGGAGGGGGGTTTCGGCAGAACAAGCCATTCTTGATTTCTCTATGAACGCACGGGCACACAAAATACTGTAACATCAATAACATATCAAACACACACATACAGACTCCAACCCTTTCCCCCCTTCTCCATCTGCCAGGGAGACCCAGCAGGGGGCAGCGGGTGGTGGTGGGAAGCAGGGATGTGTTGCATGTGCTGCTCTCTACGAGAGCAAGGCATTGAAATGACATTCCTTCAGATCAGACCTTCTGGTGTGTTTGTACACTACACCCCACTAACAAACCTGCCAAACCTGGCTGCCTCTCCTCTTTTGTCCCAGTTCACCCATGCTAACCTCTCCTTCTCTCTCCTCTGGAAAAATCTGATGACACACCTGAGATTTGGCAACATGTCACCTTTGTACAAATAAGCAGATGCATGTTTAAGCTTATTATGAGCAACTAAATAGGTCAATGATTTTTTTTTTTTTGCATTAATTACCCAAAAATCTAAAAGCTTCTACATCCAGAGATCACACACAAGACTGATTTACGTGTTTACATCGTTGTGCTGTGTTTGATTAGTGTTAAATATGTAATGGCTCCACCATTTTTTTATTATTTGCTGTAATTCTCTCTTAACTCAATTCAGTTTTGATAGGCAGCTGACCAGAAAGCCTCTGCAAACACTGCCAACGTCTTTCGCAAAGCTCTGATAGAAGCGGACTGTCAGACATGGCAAGAGCAAATTTTATTATCCAACCCCTCATCTGAATATGTTGAGGGAGGGGAGGGAGATGAGAGCAAAGACAAAGAGAGATGACACGGGAGGGAGAGAGCGAGCACGAGCGGTGTGAGATGGAAGAAAGAGCAAGAGAAAGGGCAACCACATGGCTACCGGTCACGTCCTTCGCAGGTGGAAATAGATCTCTGTGAGCCCATCCAGACCCGAGCCAACCTGCTTTTCTCTAACACAGATCTACAGCACCTGCACTAGACCAGACAAGCTTGTATAGCACGCTATCCCCCGCACATACAAAGCTGACCCTAGGTCACGGCTTTTTGGGGTAAAGACGTTGAGCTGAGAGGAGATAAAGAAAAAAAAACAAACACACACGCATACATCCGCAAACTTGATTCAGCACCAATGAAGCGCGGAGGCACAACTCCGCATGCAAAAGCCACCTGTCCTCAAATAAACCTATAAAGAGCACTACGAAAGAGGAAACACAGTGCAACAAACCTGATCCTGACACCTCCTCATGGCTTGAAACATTCCTTATCACTAATTCATGCCTGTGGGTGACAAGGCCCACAGCCCGGCACAAAGCAGCGCAGCAGCTGTCTGTGTCCCTGGTGCTCCACTTCCAGGGTAGGGCCTCCTCTCAAAGCTCAGTCCATGAGCACCCAGGCCTGCTTTGCAAGTCAAACAAGTCCTTTAAAATAGGACCTACCCATCCCTTCCCCGCCCTCATCACCTTCATTTCATCTGTAATCTGCCCCTTCCCATATATCTGCACACAACGGTCGTTTTTGACTTTCTGTTTTGCTGTTGTTTCGATTGACTGTGCAGTGACCTATGCATTAAATATCTTTGCCAAGACAGTTGTACCCGAATTTAGTCTCACTTGCAGACAAACACGTTATGACGGGAAGCGCGGGTATTTAGTAAAAGCAGTAGTATTTTGGCCGAAACACATCATCTGTGAAACATACCACTCATTCCAAAATACAAAGAAACAGTCTGCGCAACCTCAGGTGGTTTTTAGATGAGAAAATATATTGCCTAATGCACACAACAACAAAAAAGCAACCGAAAAACAACCGTCAACCAAATTTCACAGCGAATACCACATCAGTATCTGTCTGTTATTCAAAACTTTCAGTTACCTCTTTCTTAAACTTGAAAAACATGAAAATTTGTAATTGGCTCATAAAAATATTACACAACTCAAAAGTGCTGAGAAATCTGCCTTTAAAAGAGAACGAGCAGAACAAACATGAGTGAATTAAAGAGCCCTTAAACTATAAATGCTAATGGAGCATGTAGCAGCCATGTTTTAAAAGTGAAATGCAGGAAAATTATTAATTTTATCTGTTTGTAGTCCTAGACTTTTTACAAGAGAACAATTATTTCTCAATTTTACTCAGGTGAAGACTTTATGCATTCACCATCTCATTCGCTATCCAAGTAACTCATTTATTAGGACCTCAAGTGTTTGTATAAAGACTCGAGGAAACTGCGGCTCCAGAAATGAAAGCGTGAAAAATCTTTGCATCTGGCTGGCCCTATGGCCCCGTCTATTCTTCCATAACACTTTAAAAAAAAAAAATCATATCTCTTTCTCCCTTGCCCTTATTTCACAAACTAACTCAACTGTTTTTGCCTCTATGGCAACAACCAAGGGAATCACTTTACTCAGGTCAATAAAGTTCAAGGTGGGACAAAGAGGACATCGCAAGATAACTGGAATGAGGAGGGGGGTGGCAGTTCCTAGGAAAAGTGGATTTTGATCAAGTGCCACAGCTAAGTGACTCATTGCTGCCAGCAGTGGAAGGAAACCTGATTGGTCATATTGGGAGCGAAGCAGGAAGAGAGTAAGCAACTGATAAAACTGAAGCTGCGAGGGCTGGCCTAGGCCTGGCAGCTTTCACTAGAAACTAACCATGGAAGCACTGCCAAAACATAGACACAAAGCCAGTGAAAAGGTGGTGGGTGAGGCAGGGCGTTAAACTTACAAGCTCGCTCATAACTCATGAGCACATGGAGGCCCAGGAATCCGGCTCAGATGTCAATGATAAACTCAAGAGATCTCATTCGGTTACCTGGTATAACCTGTTACAATAAGTGGAAAGGTAACCACCCACAAGTGGGGCAAAGTTTAATTTGAGGAAGCCAGCAGGGGGATTTATGATTTCCTTAAAGAGTGTTCGTGCTGCCGTACAGCTCCAGAAGAGAGACATGTAGCTGCAGTCAATGAAGTGCAGAAGCCCTCAAACTGTTCTGAATTTGCATGGTTTTATTTTCCTGACCGTTTGCACTGTAGTACTCAGACCCACAGCCTACTAAACACACAAACAAATAAAAACAAAACTGTGATTCACTTTAGCATGACACATCGAAATGACTGCTCTCGCAATGCATACAATAACAGAAGTATCTTTCTTTTTGCACCTGGACATCTTCTCTTATTAGACAGCATTTTACTTAAAGCATATGTAAATGATGTTCTGATGTAGTTTAAACTCCTGAAGTAGCAGTCTAAATAAACCTTCTTAAATAAAACACTGTTGCAAGCACTACAAATCTTGTTTTGTGGTCACTAAATGTAGAAAAGAAAATACCACGCTGGTAGATAATCAAATCTTTCACATTTTTTTTTTTTTTTTTTACAAGTAAAGCTTTAACTTCAACAATTCTTTAAAGCCAGTTACATTTTTGTGGTTTTGATGACAATTTTGTGCCGCTGATCAGAATTATAAAACATGGTAGGGAGACTAGCTTCTCTCAGGCTGCAGCATAATAAAACCACATCCACAGTCTGAGTTCCTTTTAGTGTGAGTAACCTAGTTTGACACTTCCATGCTGCCAACCAGGAAGTGTATGAAAATCTAAGACGTGCCTTCAGAAACCGCACTACACCCCTACACTGCGTCGTCCGGCACAACTTGAGCTGGCCAATCGGTCGGTCCGCAGGCCCAACATGCCCCGGCTGCATCGCTCTGTGCATGCGCAGTCCAACGGGGAAAGAGGACTTCCTGTGAGTCTGTTGCAGGCGTGTAACAGAACCCGCTCTGTTATCAGATGACCAGCTCTCTGCTTGCTCGATCTCTCTGTCCCTACTGTCTGACCCCCCCTCCACGCACACACCACCGCCTCCCCCTTCCTCTCATCTGTCGCTCTCATCTCATCATTGCTCCATCTCTGTCTCAGAGTCTGCACTGCATAGTATCCACCACATCACCCACTTCCCCTTTCCACTGCTGAGGAGGCAAAGCAACGCAGACCAACCCACCCTCCCGAGTCTCACCATCCCCTAATGCATCCCACCCATCGTCTCTCTTGTTTCATTGCAAACCGATTCTCTAAATCAACGTGCGGACAGCGTCAGTTTGGTCTCATATCCTCCTTCCTGATCACTTGGCCTTTCTGCTTAATTAAAAATGAGCCTTTGGACTCTGTCCTACAGTTCTTAATATCAACTTCACAATAAATTAAAGTGTTGACAGAAGCCTGCCGCCTTCGACTATTCCATGGTTTTTACTTGATATTGAAAAACCCTTGCTTAACAAAACATTTAACTCCCCAAGTGTGGAAATTCAAGTCTAGCTTCACCCCCCCCCCACTCTGAAAAACATCTCAGCCTTTTACTCTCCCACTCTAATTTGATCAGGTTGTGTTGGCCTCTCCATAATAAATGTCCCAGAAGAGAACAGAAGAAGCCCCTTTACTCCCCCTAGACTTCAGCACAACAACAGAAAAACAACAGAGAGGGGTCTGTCTGTCTAGCCAGGCTGGAAGCTGTGGTATACTAAGCAGCTGACCAGGGGAACCAAACATTAGGGGGAAGTGAAGCTGCATTCACCATGGAGGAGGCTAACCAAACAATATGAACTGGAGATAAATGTGCAAACGCATATAAAAAGAGCATGTATAGAGATGGGGCAGAGAAACAGTTTAGCACACAGCACGACAAGAAAATATCAACACGAGTGACACTAGATACTAGAGATTATGTGACCACATGGAGAAAAAAAAAAGTAAAACTCAACAAACACAATGACTGTTACATGCGATGTACAGTACACAGCCAACATTTCACTCCGAAACGAACCCTCAAACTGCCACGGCGACATCACGCAACCTGTCTTCTCAGTCTGTCTGAACCTGCTAGTTTTGGGCCATAGTGGTGTAGGCACAAACATACAGGAATATCAAACTGTATTCAGCCTCACCGCCAAATTGATGGGTGGTGTCTTGGACCTGCCCACAGCCACTGAAGTCCCCTGCAATTCCCCTGGAGTCTATTGTTGGTAACACAGACGCACACGCATGCGTGCACACACCCATACAAACACATATGGCGTCCTAGTTTAACCTCTTGCTGGAATTCTCTTGAAATAACTATACTTTTCTGACACAGTAGTACCTAAGAAATAACACAGCACAACATCAACACAACATTTACTGTAACTAATACATACATGCATTTGTTTGTAACACTGGGCTAAATAGAAAATATCGCCTGTCACCTTCGGAGAAACATTCCAAACACTTTCCCAGCACTTGGGCGTCTTCGTGTACTGCGCTCTGCTTGTACCCTCTCCGTGCCCACACACTTAAAAAACGAGTTCAGCAAGTATGCAAAGCCAAAAAATATGCATCTGGTTATCGGGCAAAGCAGCCGAGGGTTGCTATGAAGTCTTTAAACCACGAGCCGCAAGAAAGCATTACACGGCAGACAAGATTAGAATCTGCTTTTAACAAGATACTGGTGATGAAGTCGGTGAATGGACTGCGCAGAAAACATGTCATGAGATTGACCGTGGTGCAGCTGGCTGAGAAAACCTGAAATCAAGCCACAAGAACATAAGTTCTCCAGGAGAAAGTTTCCAGAGCTTATGTGCTATTTTAATATTGCATGGACTTCGCTGTGACAGCTTCCCCTACAAGCGAAAATCAGCTGTCACGAGATGTGTCACATATTCTCTTTGTCAGCAAGAAGAGATGCCACTTACTGATGATTCTCAAATAAGCTGTTGCTCAACTGCTCACCTGTACCCTGTCAGCGATCAGCGTGGTCGCGCTGCTACAGTCTAGAAAACATCTGATATGGTGGTTTTTGTGGAGTTGGTTTAACAGCCTTAAAGAAGCAGCAGTACAGGATGTGCGACTGTCTTCATCTTTTCACTCTACTAATAATAGCAGCAGAGCAATTTAATCACAGCAGTAGGTAAAAAAACATTCAAAGAAAAGTGCATCTTAACAGCATAAAAATAACCCCCGTGCACAATGAGCTTAAATGGCCAGAGTTTAAAAAGTTAGCGTGGTGGAAAGGAAAAACTTTGTTTAAACAAGCAGCTATTTCTCTGTGCACAAACTTGCACTCAACAGTGACCTATTTGCCATTCTCTCCTTTATCTGCAAGTGGGTCAAGAACTCTGAACTCTGTCAAGCCCCTTTGCTCTCACCCACAACATGCTATGGCATTTATTTCCTCTGCTTGCCTCTCGTCTCCTTTCAGTGACAGCCTAAAGACCCAGTTTGTGTACGCGCGCGGGGGTGTGTGTGTGTGTGTGTGTGGATGCCTTTGTGGTGCTTACCAAATAGGCTGAAAATGTTTCCCGAGCCCTATCTGCCTCCCCTGCCTGCCGGCCAGCACTGCTGCCTCCGTCTCTGGGCAGGGCTAGAACTCCACCAGACAGGAAACTTACGAGTGGCCCTAGTCATACAGGCAAGCCCTTGCCTGATCCCACACAAACAGACACCTACCCCCCACCCCCCAACCACCAGCACCAACACCACCCCACCCCCCCTCTATTTTCAGCCCACAACTCAGCTTTGCATCCCCCACCCTCATTGGCTTGACAGCAGCTCACTCACCACACCTCCTTGTTGGGATAGGCTGGCGGCTGTTCCCTTTCCTGGATGGCCGAGGGCAAGGCACTCTGGGATATAGAGTTCTGCAACTCCGTTTGACCTGGTTTACGGTCCCTGCTGTACACTACGAGTCCCAGCTCCCTCTGCCCTCACCACCCCCACTATCTCCAAGCCTCCTCTAACGTAAGCACTCGGAGCTGAATTATACACTACAGTATGTTGCTAGCAGGCTGCCAGGTATTAAAGTACAGAGCAGCCATGTAGCAGGGCAGAGCTTCGCAGGGGAAAAAAAGCAACAACATTTCAGCCTCAACTGTCAGAGCAGTACTGAAGTCTTTCATCAGCTCACGCTACAGTGACATGGCAGACCCCTGAAACTCCTGCCCTAATTTGTGACTTATTCATATGGTGAGCAGTGTACCAGTGCCACTCCAACATGCCCTCCACACACAACTCACACCACACGGAGCCTTTCAATCGCTGCCATCCCCAAAAGTTGTTGCCATTGCTTTTACCATGTCCGATTGAATTATTTTTGGTTCCTCCTCCTTGTTCACTGCCCCCCCCACCATCTCTTTCTCTCGCTCTCTATCTCGAGAACCCCCCCTCCCCTACTCTCCCTCCTCCACCACCTCCACCTCCTCTAAGTGCTTCCACCTGCCTGAAAAGTTAATGCCTTGAACACATCCTATAAACTTTATCTCAAGATTCCCCAGAGGTAAAGAGCAGCACAGAGGAAGTACTTTAGAAGGATTAAAAAAAAAAAGAGGAACCTTAACTGGAGACTACTGCTGCGACCCACCTCTCCTCTCCTCTCTGGCCAACCCCCCCACCCTGCTCTCCTCTCTGGCCCCCTCCCTCATTCCTCTCCTCTTCTGCCCTGCTCTCCTCTGTTCGACAGGCCCAGGGCAGACAGAAGGGGGGGATGACAGGGTGTCTTTAGCTCACCTGCGATGGCCGTGGTGGTGCTTGTTGTGGGTTAGCTCAGCCCTCTCCTCTCCTCCTCTCCGGAGCTCTCTCTCCCTCTCACTGTTGTGCAGCTTAAAGCCCCGTATGCGCTAACCAAGCAGCAGCAGATCAACTCAATTCCCTTCCTGGTTTCTGGAGGGCAAAGAGGTCCCTCCCTTTCTCTCTCTCCCTCTCTCTCTCTCTCTCTTAAAGAAACAGCATCCCCCCCCTCGCTCTCTTCTCCCTCCTCCCTCCGTGGAATAAAAGTAAAGTGAAAATCATTTTGCGCTAAAACAGTTGACAGTTATCAAAGTAATAAAGTCACTCACATGTAACACCAATCATTAACCCACAACTTCCCACTCAGCAGTTTCACAGTGAATGTCTTCCAGTGTTCCCCTCCACAGACAGACAATCGTGTTTTCTTTCTTTCTTTCTTTCTTTTTTTTGGGGGGGGTTTAAATGCTAAACAGTGTTGTAGTCCGTGTCTGTTCTCACCCGCCTCATCTCTTGCTGCTCCTTTCCTTTTCTCTGTCAGTTGAGTCGCACCCACCCATCCTATTGCCTGAGGTCATGGTGTCCCACCCCAAAAGCAAGTCTTGGCACATTCCAGCACATACACTGGGGGCTGCCAGCAACCCCCCTCTATACACATACACTCTGGCTCTGCACAGTGTTTGTGCATAATACCTGCCAGGCTCCAACAGGTGAGGTATTAGAGAAGACATTTCTAAGTGAAAACGTGTCTTACCCACTGTGGAGAACAGCGAGTTCCCGTGTGTAAATTTACAGTCCGTGTATCTGATGTTGCGCCACTTCCAACCACCCACCGGCACACCCCCTCAGTGAGAGCAAGCCAGCCATTGTACCACTGAGTGGGATGGAGCATAAGATGTATTTGATAATCGTGTTGCACCATGAACCAACCCAGCACACCTCTGAATGCACTTTTAAGCAAGATGTTTTAAGCACGCACATACAAGACACACTTTACACAATGTTGCTGTTTGTGAACAGTCTTTGAGCCACACAGGAGTCCCACAGTGTAGCAGAGCCTGACACTGACTTGGCACTGCACACATGCAGGGGAATTAAGGGCTATTTGGCAGGGTGAGGCAGTGACACACTGTCTGTCTAGAGGGCACTGTTCAGCCAATCTCCACATTAGCACGTGGGAGTTATAGCTCACAAAGTTCAGAAAAACATGTGAATTGCAGTATGTGAACCTTTGATGTTACCACTTGCTATAATTTCCAAAGCTAAGACAAGAGAATGCAGGTTGACCGGCTGTGGCCAAAGCGAAATGAAAAAAACAAACAAACAAACAAAAACCAAACCAGGATATACACATTCACATAAATACATAAAATTTTCACAAGATGCCTTCTATTCAGTTTTGCCCTAATTACCCACAATGAAAATGAGTTGTTCTCAGTCCACAGCAGTCTGAGATGATGTCAGACATTTTTATAGCAATGTCGCCTTTCGGTCCAATATAAACTGGTCCTCCCCAGTGCCAGACACCCCACATCAGATCTGGATTTGTCATTACTGTCTGAATGATGGTTTTGATTATATCTCAGCAAAAAAAGAAGGCAGTTAACAAGACTGTCCACAGTTAACAAGACTGTCCACAGACTGCCATGACCTTCTTACAAAAGGTCGATATATATTTAGTAAAAGATTTCTGTGACCACAGGCATAGACTTTTTTGTATAATCTCCAGTTTAGTCTTTAGCACATTTCACATGCAGGTAATAATGCTTAGTTTAATGAAACTGGCACAGGCTATTGTGTCTGTAAACATTTTTTCTTCCTGTATATGCAGGCCCCAAAGTACACTATCAGTGTAACTTGTAACTGTGAGTTGCATGTTATTATAGCTTTCGTTCAAAAGGATTTCTAATGTACTAATGAGTGGAGAGAGTGTGTTGAGAGGATGGAAGGAGCACTTTGAGGAGTGCATGAATAAAGAAAATGAGAGAGGGTGGACGACAGATGGAGGAAAGTTAGTGAATCAGGAAGTGCAGAGGATTAGTAAGGAAGTGAGGGCAGCTAAGGCATGAAGAGTGGAAAGGCACTTGGTTCAGATGACATACCTGTGGATGTCTAGAAGAGGGCAGTGGACCTTTTGACACTGTTTAACTCAATCTTAGAGAGTTTGAGCCTGAGGACTGGAGAAGAAGTGCACTGGACTGATTTTCAAGAACAAGACTGATGTGCAGAGCTGTAGTAAATACACAGGGATAAAGCTGATGAGACACACCGTAAAGCTGTAGGAAAGATTTGTTGAATCTAGGTTAAGATGAGAGGTGACGATCAGTGATCAGCAGTATGGCTTCATGCTGAGAAAGAGCCCTACAGATGTGATCTTTATTTTGAGAGTGTCAATGGAGAAGTACAGAGAAAGTCAGATGGAGCTACAACTGTGTCTTTGCGGATCAGAAAAAGCAGATAATTGGCTGCTGAGAGAGGAACTGTGGCACTGCACGAGGAAGTCAGGAATGGCAGAGCAGTATGTGAGGGTGGTGCAGGACATGTATGAGGACAGAGGCAGCGGTGAGGCGTGAGGTAAGAGTGACAGATGGCGTTAAGGTGGGGGTGGGATTACATTGGGATCTGCTCTGAGCCTCTTCTTGTTTGCAGTGTGGACAGGTTGAGAGATGAGGTCAGACAGGACTCTTCAAATGAGACTGTGATCTGTAGTGAGAGTAGGTAGCATGTGGACGAGAGCCTTCAGAGGTGGAGGTATGCTCTTAGAGAAGAGGAATGACAGTCAGGAAAAGGAAGACAGAATACCTGAATGACAGGGAGACAGATGTAACAGTCAAGCTGCAAGGAGCAGATGAGTTTAAATACCTGGGGTCAGCCAACACAAGAGAGGTAAAGCAGAGAGTGCTCCATCGCAAATATAGCAAAAAATATACAACTGGATTAATGTCAGGGGATCTGTCCAGTTAATAGCATTCACTTCTGTCTTTAAAAGAATGGTTACTTAGTTACAGACCAAACACTTCTCTACCAACATTCACCGGGCATGTGTTCATGATCTTTGGTAAAACTTAATAAGGTCTCTAACTCGTTTATTCTGTTCCAGCCCAGTACGGCCACACTGCATTAGAAACACGCAGCGGGTGTTACCAAAATTTTTTTCCAATGTGGGTGACCCAGAGGAAATCAGAATATTAGATCAGAAACAAACACAGTACAGAAAACCAGGACAGAAATCATTGTTTGTGTTTTTTTAGGCTCATGTGCAGCTATGTGCCTATAACGTGAAAATTGGCAGAGCCAGAAAAGTGCTTCATATAAAATAACTGTTTAATCATACACATGTAGTAAATACCTATAGTAAAATATCTAAAGTAAATTTACTCATTACGGGGAATGGGCCTTTTCAAAATTATGCATGTTCATTAACAATGTGGACACCTTTTTTTATTTTATTTTTATTACTCATGTAATACTGAGTACGTTTATCTAAAAAAACGCATAATACATTAAAATCTCTAAAATAAGTAAATAAAGCTTTAAATTCAATAATATAGAATAAAATGCACATTATTTGCATACCAAATACAGTGGAACAGAAGTAATAGAGTCTGGAGCCTGGATCTGCCGAAGATTCTTCCTGTTATAAGAGTGTTTTTCCTTCCCACTGACGCCAAGTGCTTGCTCACAGGGGGTCGTCTAATGGTTATATAAATAGAAACTGAACTGAACAGAACTAGAGCAGCCAAGCGGCGGTGCTCGGCCTCTAAGT